GCAGTTCAATCCCCCAGCACCACATGCCAGCCAGCCCCGCCCCCTGGTGGGCTGAGCTGGCCACACACAGAAATAAATAAATAAATTTTTTTTTTTTAAAAAAAGGTAATGGGGAGGAGCCCCCTGAAACCACAGCCAGGCAGATGCACACTGCCGTGCTCTGGGGTGGGACTGAGGGGGGTTCCGGGCCCCAGGTGTGTGGCTCCACTTTAGGCAAAGACTCGGAGTGTAGCAGCAAACACTTTACCACAGTGGTAGCTTTAAGGAAATCTTGAGTTCTTCCAAAAGCAGCACCACTTGTGCAGCTGGACTCTTCTAAATCTTAGCAAGGCCCGTTTCTTCCTCTGTATTATATTTGTGCATAACCTTTCTTTTCCATCCACCTGGCCTGGCTGGTCCTTTGCCTTTGTCTGTGACACTGGCTACCAAGTGGACACTGGGGTCCACTTGCCTTGGACCCCCAAACTAGGGACCCTGGTGTCTGGTGACACTAGTTGTTAGGCCATAAGAAAGTCCCGTCACTTTCTTTTCCAAAGTACCTTGGTCCTCAGCCATCACTTCACTTTTTGTGTTGCCCCAGGCCCACATGCCTCACTGGGCTATTCCCACAGATGAGAAAGCACCTTACACTCCAGGTAACCCAGCAACACCATGAAAGGCAGCCTCCAAGACCATTACCCATCCCTCCCCACCCTGATCCCACAGTCTGAACCCACACAGACCCTGCAATCCACTCCCTCTGTGGCCTACTGCTTGGCCCCTGCTAATGCCTGGTTCTCTCCTCAACACACCTTGTACTCCCACTCCTTCCGCTGAGCCCTCAGTGGCCTGCACTTTCTTCAGGAATAGCTGCAGGCATAGCAGAGACTCCCAGAAATCCTGTCCCCTTCTGAGTGCTTTACAGCTGTTAAAAGCATACTGTCTCCAAAAGACCCTAAGTGCGGTGCTGTGTGCTGCTCTTCCTTCCATTTATCTTATAGATGAGGAAGCAAAGGCGCAGGGCAGTCGGGAATCTGTCCCAAATCACAAAGGCCTATGGGAAGATATCAACACTTTTAGACTCAAAATATTCAAAATGGATCTTGTCATCTTCTTCCTCTACCCAGAGACATTTCTCTATTCTCTATTTTTGACAGCAAATCCATACTTGCCTTGGACCCCCAAACTAGGGACCCTGGTATCTGCTGACACTAGTTGTCAGGCCATTAGAAAGTGTCCTGTCACTTCCTTTTCCAATGCACTTCGGGCCTCAGCCATTACTTCACTTTTGGTGTTGCCTCAGGCCCACACACTTCACACCCTGGGTTCTCTATTTTTCTCCCTCATTTTATTACAGTGAAGTTTGACAGTACAGAAGAAGTCATATGACCTGGTTGGGTCAGATTTCTTAAACCCTGCAACATGAGGAACTCTAAATACATTAAACACCCTGGGTTCTGAGCTGACTAAAGAGCCCAACTCTCATCCCTAAGATGGAGACAGGTAATCTACTGCAGGGTTATCAAGAGCCCCCCAAAAACCCCACTCATCTTCAAGACAAATTAAAAAAAAAATATATATATATATATATATATATATATATATATATAGTCTTTCATCAAACAAGGTTTCACTATGCAGTTCAGGCTGCCTTGAACTCACTTTGTAGCCTAGGCTGGCCTGGAACTTGGAGTGATCCTCCTGCCTCAGCCTCATGACTGCTGGAGTTACAGGTGTGCACCATCCCTGGTCAAGAATGTATTTTAAAGAATTTCTCCAGGGAAGTAATCAGAGGCATACATACAGGTAAGAATGTGCAAAGCAAATAAAAAAAGAAAAAGGAATATGCCAAGCATTTCACAACAAAGAAAAATGAAAGCATTCCCAATGTCCTGCTGCAGAATCACTAACCATCTATAACACTCTCATGGAAACAAATACTAAATATGTTTAATGATTTCAGAAACTATTCATAACACTAAGGTTAAAAAAATACCTTACAAAACCACAAATGCAATCAGAGGTACACACATAGAATAAAAGTTGAGAACCAGCAAATTAGCAGGGGTTGTGGTAATTTGAGTTGAATGATTTTTATTTTCTGCCTTACATTTTTCTGATCTTTAATAATGGATACATTTATTTTATTTTTGTTACTGGAATAACTTTTTTTTTGACTGCTGGGATGGAATGTGAGGCCTCACACATGTCAGGCAAATGCTCTACCACAGAGCTACTCTTTCAGCCTAAAAGACAATGATTAAACAACTAAATAAAAAGAATCTAGTATGCCTGTGCATCCCATTGGTGAGCCCCAGATCCCTGTAGGCTTTTTGTCCCAGCCAGTGCTGCCTTCTAGGGCCTACCAGCCCCAACCCAGCCCTGAAGCCGGGTGCCCCCCACATCTCCCCTCTGGCTCCCCCACTCACCCCTCCCTCTGCTGGCTTACCCACTTCTACCCATCCTTCCAAACTTCCAAGCTTAAAAGCCTTTGCCACCAACTGCAGTCCACTCCTCAAATTTAAGCAGAGTTTGGAGTGATGGGTCACTTTGTGTTTTTGTTTGAACTCCTTAAATAGTGGGTATCTCGAGGGCAGAGGCCCCAAGCCCTTCTGGGCCCCCTTCTGCATCTGCAGGAACCCAGAGCACTGGGCTGGATTCTGGAGGACAAAGCTGGGTTTGAAAGCAAAGTACCTTATCACAATGTCAAACTGGTTCAAGGCATGGCCCAGCTCTAGTCCGTACAGAACTCCCCCGCTTCCGATCACCACGCAGCGCCGGCAGCTCTTGGCTTTCAAGTGTTCAGGGAAGTCGTGTTCGGGCAGTATTTCCAGGAGGGACTGCACTTCACTGGAGAAAGTGCGGAATCCGAAGGGAGGATCGTAGTTCTCTCTGGCCGCACTGCCGCTGGAGCCCTGCTCCACGAAGGGCGCCAAGTCTACGCTGTACCTGCGCTCAAACAGCAGCGCCATCTCCTTCTTCACGAATCTGGGCCGACATTCCTTCTGCAGGACTTGCTGAACGTACCTCTGGGCTCTCTGGAAAGGAATCACACCGGTCTAAGTTTTTAAATCTCTCCAGAATTTTGCAGCTGACATTCGATGATGTCGGAGGCAGCGCCTGTGCTGTTATCTTTAACACACACCGCTGGCCTTTTAGAATTAATTTATGTTCAAGGACATGAAGGAAAAAACCACAGGGAGCATCATGGGGCAGGGAGATAAATTCCACAAGGTTTTTATTTCATTGCACAAGCACAGCAGCCAGGACTTCCACTTCCTACTTCTGGCCTGAGAGTGTATGAACAAATTGGGGGGTAAAGATATTCTTTGAAGTGTTTTAGATTTCATGTTTATAAGTTTCTAACCCAAACTAACTGATGTCTAAATACAATATGCCAAGTGAAATAAATCAGTCACAAAGAGAAGCAGCACGCGATTTCACTTATGTGAGGTCCCTAATGTATCTCAAACTCATAAAAACAGAAACTAGAATGGCGGTTCCCAGTGACTAAGAGTGGGAGGGAGGTGTTTTTTTAATGGGTACAGAGTTTTGGTTTTGCAAGATTAGAAAGTTTCAGAGATTTGTTTCACAACACCGTGAATACACTTAACACTGAGCAGTACATGTCAATGATCAAGAGGGTAAAAATTTAAGTTATGTCTATTTTTTTTTTACTACAGTTTTTTAAAAAGAAGGGCTTCATTCTTCAGATCCCTACCTAGCAGCCCAGGAAATGGGCTACTTTGTTAACTGGAATAAGAGGAGCTTCAATCTGAAAGGCAGATTACCTCTAGTCCGACCAGGGAGCAACACCCAGTTAATGGAGATGCTGCCTGGTTCCAAATGCATGTCCCCAGGAGGTCAGTGGTTTGTGTCAGCAAGGCCAGCTGCAGACTGTCAGGCTGAGAGCATAAGCTCAGAACTGGCTGCAAAGCCCTGTCTGCCTGCCCACCTCCCCTGGGCTCTGGCTGGGCCAGCAGATCCCGCTGCTCAGCGGGTGGTGCTCCCTGAGCTGTGTGCTTCCCATCTGCCTCCAGCCACGCACCCCTCCTCCTGCTGGGAGGCCTCCCGTGCATGTGTTCATGTGCTGAAGGGGTGTGTGTGCTGCAAAGCGCTGTATGCCCCAAAGTACTTATTTCTAGGGACCTATGAGATGTTTTGAATTCCATCAGTAACATATGATGAGGACTCTTACAAGAGTTTGAAATGTACCGTTTTTTCTCCCAGCCTTGATTTTTTTTTTTTTTTTCCTGTACTGAGGGCTGATTCCCAGGGTGTCTGCATTGAGCTGCAGCAGTCTTTTTTAAAAAAAACTTATTTATTTTTTGAGAAAGGAGTTCACTGAGTCATAAATTGCCTGAGCCTCCAGATTGCCACCATGGCCTGCCAGTCTTATTATTTTTATTGCCTGATTCTTTTTAGGAACATATTTACCTTATTATAGCAGAAATACTTAACAAACAGCTTCATAAAATTAAGTGCTTGGGAAGAGCACGCTGTCTGCATCTTGAGGATTGGGCCCCGACTGAAAGGTTGCCCGTATTCTCGCAGCCCCAGAGATACGCTGCAGACCTATACAGATTCACTGTCCCAGTTCCTCTGTGAACCCCTGTGGCACCTCACAAGATGGCCACCAGCATCGTCACTCTGTGGGCTCGAGGTGGCATCATAGAGGAGAACCGAACTGACATTCACCAGCCTGGTGACTGTCTCTGTAGGCCCTGAAACAAGCTCTTTCCCAGAGGAGGCCACTACTGGGAGCAGCTGCACGTGGAATAGCATCATGGTAAAGAATCAGAGACCCAAGCAAAGACACTGTCACAACCCCACATAGGTGGAAGGCTCAGCCAAGCAGGTGACGCATGGCCCTGTGGCCAGCTGGTGAGCAGAGGCGGGGAAATGGAAGGGCCACCCAGACTCCATGTGTTCAGGCTCCAGGCCCGGAGGTCACGAACAGCAAGTTTTAAAGAGCAAAGAGCCCACTTCCCTCTAGAATGGCATCCCAAATGCCAGGTTCTACAGGGCTCCTCAGATAGAAAGGAATGTGTGAAAAGTGCCAGCTGGGGGCTGCTCCTGGTTGAGGGCCGTCCGCACCTAAGACAGGAAGATGGTGGCCGCAAAAAAGACGAAAAAATCTCTGGAGTCCATCACCTCTAGGCTCCAACTTGTTATGAAAAGTGGAAAATACGTGCTGAGGTACAAGCAGACGCTGAAGATGATCAGCCATGGCAAAGCGAAAGTGGTCATCCTTGCCAACAACTGCCCAGCCTTGAGGAAATCTGAAGTAGAGTACTATGCTATGTTAGCCAAAACGGGTGTCCACCACTACAGCGGCAATAATATCGAACTGGGCACAGCATGTGGAAAATACTACAGAGTGTGTATGCACACTGGCAATCATTGATCCAGGTGATTCTGATATCATTAGAAGCATGCCAGAACAGACCAGTGAAAAATAAACCAAGCAGAAGTTTTCATGAATAAAACCTGCCATAGCTTGAAAAAAAAAAAAAAAAGAAAAGTGCCAGCTGGAACCCAGAGCAGCCTGCTGTCCTGAAGGAGGGCAGGAGCAGCCGGAGATGTGTGCACAGCACCAGGCTGGTCAAAGCTTCCCTTTAGAAGTCGCGTTGGAAAGGAGTGAAATTTCATTCCACTTCTGTCCTGGCAAAGAGCTGGATTTCAAGCTTCAAATTTAATTTTCTAGACTGTGAGCTGGACACAGGCTCTGAAGTCATCCTCTGCGGTAACCCCTCTGGTGCCCAACCCACAGCTGAGGCCGGATATGAAACCTGAGGGAACAGAGCTCTAAATGTCACCCAGAAAGGTGGAAGTCTTTTCTCCTCTCGTTCTAGCTCACTTCAGGAGGTGCAAGGAGCTGGGAGAAAGCCTCCCGGACACTTTCTGCTAGCTGGAATCTTTCTTGGCCCGTGCTCTCTTCACTGCTCCCCTGGGAGGCAAAGCTCCCCAAGAAGGACCCCCCCATACCCACTTAAAAGACAAAATTTAAACAACAAAGCCTTGGAAAGCATTAAGAGTCAGGGCAGCTGCCTGGGGCTGGGGTCAGGTTGAAGCCTGACCACAAAGGGGCTCAAGGGAGCAAACTTGGGTGACTGAAAGGTCCCCAAGCTGTGCTGAGGCTCATGCCATGGTGCTGTGACCCTGGGGTAGGGACAGGAAGCAGTGTGATGTCCCTTCTCTGGTCACAAGGGGCCACAGTGGGAGCTGAAGCAGTTGAGGGAAGTTGGCCTGGGATGTGCCAGCCCAGGGCCCAGGACACAGGAAATGGTGACTCTCGCAAGCCACCGCATTGTCTCAAATCCAGGAATACAAAGAAAGGGTTCTTAACAGAAGCCTCTTCCAGGCTGAGCTTGCAGGCTGCCAACAATTAAGGAATAAATAGATGTCTGGCAGTTCCAATTGTCAATGGTGTGGCAATTTGCCACGGAAAACCACACTGTGAAATTGATGTGAAATGAAAAAGCCCAAGTCATTTCCCTTAGCAAAATCTCCCTTTTCATTTTCACTCTATAATTTTAAGAATCACCCTTCTCAAAAATATAGCGGTGTGGCATAATTCTTTGAAGTAAGAGACCACGTTCTATTATTTATCTATTTGTTTTTAAATTCAGGACACAGGCTGGGAAGCTGGCTCAGTGGTAGGGCACTACCTGGTGTATGTGAGGCCCCGGGTTCAATCCCTGGCACTGCAAAGTAAATAAAAATATAACAAATTCAGGAGTGGGCAGAGCGCTTGCGTGCAAGGAGACTTTTGGGTCTGGTGTCACTAAATGTGGGCAGGCCCAGCTCCGTCACAGCGCATGTGGCCTCGGGGCTCTGGTTACCTTGTGAAGTTTGATTTCCAATTCTACTTCTGTCAACATGTGTACTGGTCTCCTCCTCCTGGGTTTGCCCTAATGCCCCAAGCATTTTGCCCAGTGCTTGGCACAGGAGAGGGCTAAGTTTTTCTGAGTTCATTCACATTTAAGTTACCTATCATTTTAACGCAGTGAAAAGCAGATAAAATTTAAATGAAGTCATGGAAAGAATTCTACAGTAAAACCTCAGCGAGGCAGTCAGCAGTTGCTGGTGCTGGGTCACATGGAGGCCTGACAACAGAGGGGATAAATGTGGGGGACTGGAAGTTTTCCACGCAGTGCTGAGGCTGAGGCTGAGGTGGTGGTGGCGTGACCCTGGAGTAGGCTGCCTCTCACATATTTCAGAGGAGTAAGCGCTATGGGGGCACGATGTTACTACCCTTGGTTGGTAAGAAAATGGCATCAGAGGTAAAATGGTACCAGCTCTAGATCTACTTAACTAGCAGTGCTGGCTTCGGCAAAGCGCTGGACCCTGGGGAAGGGTCATTACCTCTCCCCCTGGGGACATTCTAGGGTGGTCTGGGGAATAGAGGAGGTGGCACCAGGACAGAAGAGACCGAGGTGGGCGCTGGAGCCTCCCTTACTGGCTTGCTCAGCTGGAAGCATCTCACTTGCTGTGAACACAGTCGGGAGGTCTGCGGATCTAAGAGAAAACTATGCGGAGGAGCTAGGGAACTGGGCCGGAGTTAGTCAGGTGGCACAGACTGCTGTCCCCTCAGTGGGCTTTCCATCTCTGAGAGCAGAGCAGGCCAAGCTCACACGGCTGCCACCACTGAGCCCACACCTCAGATGTGCCCAGGTGTCCCTTCAAAGACTGCTGTTGGTCTGTTAACAACCGACACTTTAAGGGACCTTTTAAAACAGAAAACACAAACCCCACAACTTTTGAAGCTGCTCTTCTCCTGTGCTAGGGTCCCTCCCACCAGGGCTGGCAGGGGCCAGTCCCACTGCAAGATGCAGACTAACCTGGGATGCTAACCAGGCCCACCCTTTTGGCTGGGAGACCTTCTTCCACCAGTATCCACACAGGATCATTCCAATGGGCCCATGTGCTGCTGGCGGCCAACAGTCAGGGCTTTCTTTGTGGGGAGCTTGTACCAAACTCCATCTCTCAGCCGGTGGAGACAGCAGGGCCACACTAAAGAGTCTTTTAGTGTGGA